TGGGTGCTGGGATTCAAACCCAGGTCTTCTGCAAGAACAACCAGTGTTCTTAACTGCTGAGCCATCTCTCCAGCCCTGTTATTAATTTTTTAAACTTTATTTATTTATTCATTTAGTTATTTATACGTGTGTGCACGTTTGAAGGTCAGAGGATAACTTGTGGGAGTTGGTTCTCTCCTTCCACCATGTGGGTTCTGGGTATCAAACTCAGGTTGTTAGGCTTGGTGGCAAGCACCCTTACCCAATGAGCCATCTCACCATTCCTAGAATAAGGCAGCTCTTTACACCACATCTGAAGCAATCTCCCAAAGATATAAAGTAAACAAGGCTAGGGAGATGCTTCTGTATGCACAAACACACCTTTGTGTTCTGTCTAAATCCACATAGACCAGTTCTGGCATGATGGACATGGAGGCGATGGGAAAAGGAGCAGAAAGGAAAGTCTTACATATGGAGAGGAAGGATGTCTATGTCCATGCATTCCTAGGACTGTCTTGGCCTCCATTTGCCCTTAAGCCTCCCTCCTTGGCTGACTCCAGGGAGGCAGAGTCACTCAGGAGGGACTGCCCCACACCTCCAAAAGTCTCACATGCCCCTGTGAATCCAGGTCTTCTACTGTTTCTCCCTCCCCTGTGCTGGCTGAGCTCATCCCATTTTTCCTCAGAGAACTCAGCCCCTCCATTCCCTTTCTGTGCAAATTGCTGGGGTGCTGGAAATACCAAAGAAGGGACTAAGGAGGTGCCTCTAGCGTGTACTCTAAAGTGGAGTGGGATGGGGGAATCAGGCGATGTTTGTGACCCAATCCCAAGCTCTCCCTCATGTAGTTACACTACACCTATACTTACCAAATCACCAACTACAACCATTGTTCAGGCATAGTCCATCCATCCATCCGTCCATCCATCCATCCATCCATCCAGCCAGCCAGCCAGCCATCCATCCATTTTCACCTATCCATCCATTAATCCATTCATTCACTTATTTATCCATCTGTCCACCCATTCCCCCATCCATCCATTCCCCCATCCATCCTTTTACGCACCCATCCAAGAAGTATCATGGTAAAAAGTGAAGATTAAGGGAAAGTTGGACTCTCAACCTGGCTGTACATGTAGGAGGGAATCAGAAACAGACTCTCTGGGTTTGTTTTCTTGTGGGTAAATTGGGACTACTAATAGTATGAACCTCAATCCTGTTCTCAGGGCTAAGCTAGCATGTGCAAGGTTCTTGGGTTACTTCCTACCCTAGTCCACATTTAGCCCCGTAGAAGCATTGCCTTTGTTTATTACTTCATGTGCAGTGTGCTGGAGACACAGTGGTAAATACAGCAGTCACAGCCCACGCTCATAGAGGTTTACCAGCCTGGGAGACAGACATTAAACACATAATTACCATCATGCTTACCTCCTGTGGAGAGAGAAAAGTAAATAGTTAACTGTAATACCATGTGCTTAGCATTCCTGGGCTACATGGACTAGGGGTGGAGGAGGGGTAGGTATAAAAGGACAAGTAGGGGTCCCATAAATAAAACTAGAAGGTTCTCTCAGTCCATGGACAGAAGGGTCAGTGGTAGGGAAGCACATGGAGAGGCCCAACTTTCTGTGTGGCTGTGTGTGACATAGGAAGGAGGTGGTAGGAACAGGGGCTTGGACAGGGAGGCAAAGGTTG